GGGGGGGCCAGGGGCCAGCCTCTGCGGAGGACTGGGGCGGCATGGGTGATTGAGAAATAATTGTGTCAGTAGAATGTCGTAGGTAGAATGCGATGTGCGGCAGACGTGTGGCGGACAGCTGGACAAACTCTTGTCTTGATGGTGTGATGGTAATTCTGTTGCTAAATGCAGGCGTGTTTTTTTTTCTTTTTTTAATTTCATTGTATATGCAGCACTGAAGCTATGATACTTATATCTAATTATGTATTTGATTAGATTTCGATGTCCTGATTTGGCGCCCTATGGGCCCAAGCAGGTGTCTATGTGTCACGGGTTGACCGTTGTATAAGCTTGGGTGAATACCTAAGTGAATTGTTGAGAATGTTTACGACAAGGCTGCATCTGGGGGGGGGGGGGGGGGGGGTTAGATGAAGCTGAACAAGACGACACTACTAGTCAGGAGGTCGAAGCGTTACTACAACTAAGCAATACCTGGCAATGCGTGGTTGGGTAGCAAGTATTGTGCCTGGAGGGCAAGACTGAACACTTATACATGGTATCCTCTACGAACCCGGCAGTGTGGTGGTGTTCTCTGGTATTGTTTGCGTAGCCTGGGCACCTACACCACTTGAGAAAGAGATACCTCAGATCATATTTCGCACGGAGAAAAGTTGAAAGGTGATGGAGGCATGTCTGGATAGCTCAGGGTTTTTGAGACGTTCCCCTGGGTGGGTATTCACGGATGAGGGTTGACTTGGGGTGAAGAAAAAGCCGCCATAACTTCGCAGTGGTACGTTCCAATGAAATCTGAGGCATGAATGCTATTCTTTTAAACTGAGTCATCTGTTACATGCTTCTCTGATATTGTCTCTTAGCTAGATAGCTGCATACGCAATTAAAATCTGATGCCAAAAAAAGGTAGTGTGCCTAAGGATAACTCATCAGTCTGGAGATTGACGAAGCGGACCAATTCTTGTAGATACCTGTTAGTCGTAGCTAAAGTTCTCTTTGCTCCTCATGCAGTTTAATAAATCGATTTATTCATCAACAACTCGGTTTCCGTCACATTATGATACTTTCTGATTTACATGGGAGGAAACCTTTTGACGAAAACCCCCTTACTTCCTGTTCACTGTCTGTAATTTTCTAATGTATCCTGCATGAAGCGCAGTTACACTGTAGTGCCCTCCATGTTAACCAATCACATCGTCCTTATCGACCCCAAGAATGGCTTGTCCTGCTCCTTTCCCTCAGTCGTATTTTGGCCGCCTTTTTCGTCTGGAATCATTCTATCCAACCATAATTTGGAATCCACTGTGTTATGCAATTATTGTCTCCAGGATTATTTAACATCGCTTCGTAAGATCGATCTTTGGCTTGTCCCCAAATCTCTCCTCTTCCATTTGACTATCGAGGGCAGGACATAATCATATACTTGGGGCTCTGCGATTGGTAGGCACATAGAGAGCTTGAAATGTAGATTCCGGGTACTTTTCTTATATATAAATACGAATTAAGCCCCATGTGCTCACTCCGTATTTGCCTCGCTAGACTGCTTTGGGCCCTTGTCAGGTTTCGGTAATTATGTATTCTAAATTACTTTTGTGTTGAAAAGATGGAGTACAGAGATAACTCAGGTGATGCTTAATGGAAGTTATTGATGAAGGGTTTAGTTTTGAGTTTTCTATTATTTCTATGAGGGGGACTATTCTCAACACCTGTCAGTATTGGATGTCGATCGAGTTTGCGTGAGATTGGGCTTTGACCCATATTTGCCGGAGTTGATGAGAGCAACAACTTGGCTATGGTTTGTATGCTAACCGGGATATAAACTGTTGAAGCTTTGTCGCTTGGTGATAGAGGTGAGGTAGAGGTTTATGGGTCTCGATGTATAGGATGACTGAGGTGTGGATGTTTGAGTTCCTTACCATTGTTATTGTACTAATTAGGGTTATTCTTTTCTATATACAGAAGGGATTTCTTCATTTACAAGGGGGCGAAACCCAATACCTGTCAGTCGTGTCCCCTACGAACCTCCTGTTCTCACTGTAGAGTCTGCAGAGCCGAGATTGAGTAACACCTTATCAACTTTGAGCTGAGTTATCTCCCCCTCCGTCAAAAATACGCTTCCGATAACTCAGGAGACTACCAAGACGACGATAATGATGATGCTGGGGGGAATGAGGAAAGATAATGCGGTACCAAACGCTACAACGGTAGTTCGAGAAGCCCTCGTTATATCACAACATGTGCTACCCACCGGCGGCCGAACAAAAAGCCCACGAAAGCAAAGTAAAAGACCCTTTCGCCCTCAAGAAAAGCAGATTTCGAGTCGTCAAAAATATCGTCCCAGCTAATCTTTATCTCTGAATCTACTAGCCAGGAGAGCATCTGAAATACACGAGTTACTCGACGACCCCACGTCCGTAATGACTTTTGGATGCTAGGCTAGGCTCCTTCACGACAGCCACTCTCGACCAAGACTTTTCTGATATCCTTTCACGCCCTACGGTTCGTCCTGCGGCATGAATTGTGGGAGGAGTAAGGAGCAGGCTAGGAGGGTTGAGAGACGCTCTTAGGTATAAACAGGTCCGCTGCGCCCGGCTGGCCGGCCTCTTCGTCAAAGTGTAGTGCTGGCTCGGTTGCTTTGTTAGGAGACAGGGGAAAGGAGGATGGGCTGCTGGGTTAGGAAAGGGTGGAAAATACAGGCTGGTGCACAGACGCCGTTCATTTAATTTACAATCTATTCACCTGCCATGATTAGTAAATCCATCCTTCAGAATAATATCATACTTCAAATCATCCATTAGATGATATTATTGTCAGGATACGCATATAGCATCACCTTTATAGATTACCATTTGATACGCACCCAGTGTCCATTGCCCCATCACCCAGCCTGAGCGCGCCATCTCCGCGACTCACCATTGCACAAGAGCTCGTGCCACTCCACCGACGGACAGCAGAGTCATATAATTGCCATACACCTCACAGCTCACAGCTCATAACCATAACAAGTCCACCCGGCTAATTAGTCGAAATCTTGGTCTTGGCGCCCACAAACGTTCCAAAGTTGAAAACTCCTTGATAATGTTAGTCCCAGCATAGCCTTCAGAGACCAGTTCCTCCTCTCGCTCCTTATCCTAGCCGCCTGTCATTCCTTAAGATGTATGATCCCATTAGGGCAACAGTCTCCCATAAACGAAGACACCAACATTGTATGTTATGACTTGATTTCCTCCTTGCTGGTATAAATAGCGTCGTAAATATGTAGTAGCAGATAGCTGGAAATTAATGGGGCAAGATCCTGTATGCAATTGGAGCAACTTCTTTACTGGTCGTCGAGGCGAGATGATGCGTGGTTAGAGAGAGTATGAGGACCTAGATGAGTATGGTAAGAGAGGCATTGTCGAGAAGTCGTCAAATGGAGGTCTGCTTGAGGTTGCTTTCGACTTCGATTCGGTTGCGATTCTTCTTGGCTATCCCAGATATGCAAAGCAGACTGAGCGATTACACCGACAACACTAGTCTTGGTGATGTGTCGTTGGTGGGAATGTTATTCTATCACGTAATCAGAACAGAAGTTTCAAGCTAAGCGAGGTAGAACATAGATGGCTAGCAGCTTATTGACACCATTTTCTTTCAATAAGTTAGATAAGTTCAATAAACCAATTCCTCCCTGATATCCATCTTCTGTCTTTGCTCCTGAAATCTGCAATATCTTACAATCGCTACGGTAATGACTTGACGGTTAATGCCTACTTCAATCATTCCAGATACCTCCAGACCTTTAATACGTGTTTGCTTACTCATTTGACGTTGGAGACAATCATACTCCGGATTCTATTCGTATACACCAAGGAGAAATTGTTGCTTAAGCTAAACAATCGTTCTTCCTGCACAATCACTCGAAGATTCAACTATTTTTAATGTAGGGTGCTCGGTTCGGCCGACCCAAACTGATTCAATGACCGGAGACCAATTGAGCGCTATCGCACAGGCCAGCCAATGAAAGTTTGCTACATTGTCCCGAGTAGAGGCCATCTCGATGAATGCTGAGGCAGAAAGTCGACCTGCCTCGAAAGATGTGATGATGTCCGGGGGGCTCGGCTTTAAGGTCTTGAATCCCAAGGAACAAGTCTGAAGAGCAAGATGCATCTGAAAGAAGTCAGCGATAGCTTATATCAAAAATTGAGGAAACCGACAATTTGGAATTAAAACTGTAAACTCGTCTTTTGCTATCTGCGAGCCTGGAGGAAGTTTGTCATTTGGGGGATATGATGGAAATGAGAATGTGTGCAAAGCGCATTGCTTGGATCCAAGATTAGGGAATCTTCTATTCTTCGGAGTCTCTATTTTGCGTTTCTGCTTTAATCTACCGCATTTTTGATGGCGATTCACGTCGTGAGAATGAGTTAAAACTACTCACGGTGATCCTCGCCAGCTTCAATACCTACAGCGGGCTTATCGCATTAGCCAAGGACCCGAAAGCTGCAAAAGCAAACAAGCAAAACTGAAAATGTAGTACATATCCGAAGTTCGGAGTCTTTTTTTGGAGACGGTTCCGACTTTGCCCCGGGCTGCTGTCGCATATCGGGGCGAGACGTGAGAGAGATTCAAGGGGCGGCATATCGTCATGCCAAAAAAGCAGTGTTTGGAATGGAGGTGCCGCGTCGGCTTGTCTGGAGCGACGGAGCATAGCTAGGCTCCCGGTAATGGGCTGAAGATCTTTCCGTTCAGGAACGTTGGACGGCAAGTTAGGTGCTCGATTCTCCGAGGACTTCCCGGCTTCCCGCGGAGCGGGCTGAGCCCCGCACGCGCAACTATTGGGATCCGGGATTCTTTCCCAGTATACTTGTGCCGGGAACACCAGACATCTGGGATCAGCCGGCTAATAAGCTAGAAGACTTGGCCTTACTGGAAATGTGCTCTAAGAAGTACCGTATAAGCTGGTCATTCCATCCAAAACGTAGGTACACTTTCGTACTTCAATTATAATCATATCCCCGGCTCATTCCACAATGTTTTGCGGCGACGAAACTTCACAAAGTAGAGATGAACATGGTCAAAATACCCGTTATCACCATCCTCGGCCCTGGCCTCGGCTTGCGCCGCTACCCCCGCGCCGACAAATTATAAAGCGAAACGGCTCGCACGGACCCTCTGCCTATCTTATCAGGGCTATCCGTCGACACTCCGCACGAAAGAATCCTGTAGTAGTTAGGAAATGCAGCCTTGAACGTTGTAAAGAACTGTATACTTCTATACCGACACAGGGAGACTTAGCAACAGCTATGGCACGCCTAGACATCAGTGGCCTAGATTGCGCATTATGGGTGCCGAAAGATGTTTCGGTGATGTATAGTACAGAAGGGATCGGAAGCGAGTCATCGATTCGGAACGTAGGAATGGAGTCACGACACAGTCCCACACAGTATGTGACTGGAAGGATGACCCTAACTATGTCTAAATTGTGCCCAAGGTACGAGTGCTTGGACTTCCACAAGCTCACGATCCTAAGCTCAAAGCTCACTAGTTACACTTTCAATACTCTACATGAAAACTCGGACAATACGCGCATCCGGACCAAGCCCCTTAAAGCCCGTAGGCTTAAGGATACTGACAGGTCTCTCATTGGCCCCCCCAGAAAGAAGGCCACATTAAAATCGCAAGATTTCAGTCAATGTTATTCTGCAAGAAGCTCCTGACTGGAAATATTCTATCCAATCGGGGGACTGCCTATCAGGCCTAAACGCTTCAGAGAGGATAAATTGTGCACGAGAGATAAGTTGGACCCATGGAATGATCGCTTGGGTGAGTATGAGATATTTATTTAGCCAAAACTTGCTTAGAAAATGTTTATATTTTTCTCTGAATCTAAATTGCCGTTCTCGTTCCTTCACCTCTTTGCGGTAAACAATACGAGTCATATTTTCTACGCGCTCTTTCAGAACAAGGCGGACGATTTTATGAGACTGAAGTAATCGAGGATTCAAGATTAGAAGGAAATTTTCTTTATCTGGGTATTTATGACAAAGATTGAACCAAGGGCCTACGCAAACCAACTTTTAGATCATACATGGAAATTCGTAAATTTAAACTGTTGGTTGAAACTGGTCAGTGATTCTCCCGACAGTACCACAATGAATGTGAAATTGGCGTTAGAAATGCGACAGTAGTGATAACAGTATTTTACTTCACAATCACCCACGGCATCGAGTATTTCTAATGCTAGCTTTCATTTCAACATGTGTGTCGCCTCGGAATTGAACGTAACGAAAAGCGCAGAGAATTTACGGAAATTATTATAAGTGTTGGAATTTAGAATTATTGGGGCTATCAAGTAGGCCACGTTGTCGATACACAAGTGACTGAGGGGTCATTATTTCCTCAATAATGAATATAAATAATTGTGGCTATTATCAGTGGGCAATGGGAAGAGGAGAGGTGATTCGTAAGGCAAAAGATGGGTTCCTTACAGCAATGATGAATAGCCCAGATGATATGCAGAGAATTAGAAATGGATCATGGCAAGAGGCTGGTTTGAACAAATCCGGCTTGCAGGAGAAGTAGAAATAGCATTGGACGAAAAGATGAGACGATGTGGACAAGGATAAGACGGAATTCACACTGTATGAACAGTGTAAACGTACTTCTTACAGGAAACCTTAGAAAACCAACAGACGCGAGACAGACGGGGGGTTTTAACCGAAATGGTTAGGAGGGCAAGACTGAACACCTGTATGCGGTGCCCTCTACGAACCTGGGAGTGAAATATTCTGCCAGAGCCAAGTTCAGTCAAATTTTGCAATACCGAACAAGTTGGCCCACGAGGCAATGATTCAAACTACTCCACCATGTCAAATCTTCACTCCCAAAGAGTCCGATTCCTACCTAAGCCTAATTAAGTCTACAAGTACGACCTAGTACATCCTTATTCTAATGACCACACCTCCTATCGACTTTCTCTGGCCTCATCCGGTCGCCAAATACACGCGCACGCCGACATTTATACCCGACGGAGGACACAAAGCGTGGCGCACAAATCTGGGAGATAGTTCTTTTGGATGGACGGGAGAGGGATTTGGACAAGTTGATAAGATGATGCAGAAGATGGATACATTCCTGGCGGGCGTGGAATTTTGAATTTTGGCAATGGGAGTTTTTACAAATTGAGTCTTGTGCGTGCTAAGGCTTCGGTTGCGAGAGTGCAGGCGACAGTAAAAACATCGACATGGTTGGATGGTGCGGTGGTACATCGTCTTGGCCGGTCTGCCAAGTAGAGTCTGGATAGCTTGGACACATATCCCACTTGAGACAGTAGATCGCTGGTTCAAATCCGGCAAAACAAACCCAAAATTTCTCGCGGCGCTGGTATGCATGAATGACGAAGGTATGACGGATAACCAAAGGTTTTGAAACGTTTCTTTGGTGGGTACTAACGGTGGAGGATCGACTGTTTGTGTAAGCAAGCATACCTCATAGTGGTATTTGCGAATGAAATCCAGAGTATGAGTGTCTCTAACGTCAAAAAAGTCATCCAACATGTATACATAGCACCGGTCATGTGTCATAGCTCCATAGCTGAATACACATTAAATGATAAAAAAAAAGTAGCAAGGGCGAAGCCACCAGGGCAGTAAGCACTGGCGTCCATGCCTCTAGGTAGTTTAGTGGTTAGTAGGGACCTAAGTCAAGCGTGGCGCGCCGACGGACGAAAAATAGAAAACAAACAAACTACAATTCGAGAAATTCCCTTTTCCCTCCTCATGATTATTCCTGAGCTTGAGTTCTCGAATTGATGACCATCGAAAGACGTCTAAAAATGCCTCCGATGAAGAGCAAACGACCAAAGTCGACTATTTCGGTCGGCTTTGAACGGACACACATGCGTCCAAAACCTACTGGCCTCGCGCAAAATTTGTCAAGCCTATTTGCGAGTGAGGCCTTTGTCCCAGGGTAGTCTTCCACCCTTCCCGATCAAGAAATGACTGGTTCTGATCCGATCCGATCAGAATAGAAATGAACGGTCGACAGACTGCGGAACCCGCCGAGCTGGCCTCCGAGGCAAGCAGCTCCAGGAAAGGAAAGGAGGTCGTCAGAGAAAGGACGACCGAACGCGCAGAATCATCTGCCCCCAAAAATGCTGTGCCAGCCTCAAAAGGCGCAGCCTCGACAACAGCAATGGAATTTTCACCAGAACTGCAATCAGTGATGGAGGCCAAAAAGCGTCACACGACGCAAATAAACGCCCGACTCTCAATCTGCTCGAATGCAATCAGCAGTGTCGTAGCAGTACTTTCGCCTCTTTCGATTGGCGATAATAAAGAATTTGTAGACGGAATCAAAGTCTATCTTCGAGCAGCCATCGGCCAGTTCGTACAATCTGGCCCAGGGAGCACACCACCAGTTCTCCCTGCTCGCCCCGCCAACCCTCTTCCGCCGAGGGCACCAGAAATAAGGGTTCCTAACCCTCCAACAACCCAGGCTCCGGCCCTGAAGACAACTTGGGCTACCGTAGCTCAGGGAGGCCTAGCCCGCAGCGCTGGGCAGTCGAAAAAAAGGTAGCGCCGCCCGCCCCCAAAGCAAAGAGTGCCAACCCGAGGACAAAAGTCGATTCACGACTTTTTCTACGCCTCGACTACTTCAATCCCCACCGTCTCCTCCCCCCAGCTGGCATTAGGTCAGTTGTGTCTCTGGCGCTGGGAACCGCTGCAAATGATATTACGTTGGTTCAGCGGGTAAAGACCGGCTTTGCTATTACAACAAAGAATGAAACTTCTCGAAAGGAGCTCTTGGATTCCTCCGCACTGCGGAGAGATCCAGAAATACACCTGGAACCAGCATCAAATCTGGTTGTCATGCAAATTGCCACCGTTCCGGAGACAATTCAAACTCTTGCTAGCCCCATCGCCGTGACAGCAAAGATGGTTGCCGACGAAGTCACGCGAGTGACCCAGTTGGTTCCCTCTCTGGTTCGTCCTCATGGGACTAGCAAACCAGGGGCGCCCTACTCAAATTGGCAAGCGCTCTTACCCCGAGAATCCGCTCCTCGACCTGGATTCCGCCTTTTCGACGACTCTGGAGCTGCAAAGCTCTTCCGACCTCGTCGAAAAATCGAACAATGCAAACGGTGTCTTGAATTTCACGCCACCCGTGTTTGTTCCCACGCTCCAGCTTGCTGGAAATTCGGATCTAATATGCACTCAGAATCAGAGTGCAAGGCCCTCACCCGGTATCGAAACTGTAGGGGACCTCACCGATCAGATTCCCGGACCTGCTTAGCCAGACCCAGCAAGTCCGGACCGGTGACAAAAGAGCAGCTCGCGCGGATCCGCCAGATCCAGCAGGGGGAGTTCGCGAAAGTGGCTCGATTTAGGGCTGCAGCCAAAAGGGCCGAAGGGGCAACGATGGCCTCAACGAAGGATGTCTCGATGGCCGAGGGATCGGGTTTCGGAATCCTGGAATCCGAAGAAGAAATTTGAGGGTACAGCAACCCTCGATGAAGTCTACAAAAAGCTTCAAAATATATAGCAGGATACCAGCTGAATTCAGGTTATCTGCAAACTAATTTTCGCTCTCAGCGGAGATAAAGAAAAGTCACGTGGAAGAAGTGGTAGGAAAGGAAACGGGCGAGAAGCGCAGGATCCGGACCAAACAGTTTTTCTTCCCAATTTGATTTCAGTTTTTGATTTTAGTTTTCCTGTTAACTTCTACAATTTCAGTAGAAGTTTATGCGGTTGGAATGAGTTGGGCCTGTACGCAGTGATCCTTGCCGGCTCCACCGGTCCTTGACCCAATGTGGAAAAGATAGCGTTAGCTTAGGACCAATTGTAAAAATAAAAACAAACAGTTAGGAGCATAATGAGTATGGCGTTTGGAGATCTTATATACCCTGTATTAGTAGTTCCATGTAAGCGTGTAGCGAGAGCTAGATCATAGCATTAGGAGAGAGTGCAGAGTAGTAGTGGCGAAACACGCTCTGTATTTTATGTTAACCCGATACTTTATCAAATCTACTTCCAGTAGTCCTGTATCAGTTGTCTAAGGGAATCATATTCTAATAAAATCAACTTTACATAGGATAAACACTGAATTCAACTTATACACAAACCAACCCATTGTGTGTTTGTCTATTGTACTACTTGAGTCTATGACTATCTAGCACATTGGGCTCCTACCTGACTCAAGCCACACCTTGTATTGTGACGCCCCGACATTTTAGTGGCCACGTAGTCGTCGGTTCAATAGTTGGTAAGCCGACACAGGCTCAATCCAGGAATTCCAACAACTAGTTTCACACACACAAGTCTTGTGTGTGATAAATCACGATACAAAAGGTTTGTCATGGATATTGGTTTTCATGCGAAACCCTTGGGTTGCAGGCAATGAGGAACAGGAGGTTTCGTGTTGGCAACTCTATTTCAACAGTTGAACTCCTATGTAAATATATACAGATTCATATCCTCCTAGATACTTTTCTCTTTCGTTTAGAATCCTATGATTTGAGTCCACGCCAGCTTTCGACCACTCGCCAATCGTCTTTTGTCCCTCGAGTTTCCACATGTATAGTGCTTCTTCCCTCTCACGTTTCTTGAAATATCTTTTTTTTTTAATCATTTAAGTGTATTCAGCTATGGAGCTATGACACATGACCGGTGCTATGTATACATGTTGGATAACTCTTTTGACGTTAGAGACACTCATACTCTGGATTTCATTCGCAAATACCACTATGAGGTATGCTTGCTTGCACAAACAGTCGATCCTCCACCGTTAGTACCCACCAAAGAAACGTTTCAAAACCTTTGGTTATCCAAGCATACCTTCGTCATCCATGCATACCAGCGCCGCGAGAAATTTTGGGTTTGTTTTGCCGGATTTGAACCAGCGATCTACTGTCTCAAGTGGGATATGTGTCCAAGCTATCCAGACTCTACTTGGCAGACCGGCCAAGACGATGTACCACCGCACCATCCAACCATGGCCGTGTTTATAGTGTCGCCTGCACTCTCGCAACCGAAGCCTTAGCACGCACAAGACTCAATTTGTAAAAACTCCTTGCCAAAATTCAAAATTCCACGCCCGCCAAGAATGTATCCATCTTCTGCATCATCTTATCAACTTGTCCAAATCCCTCTCCCGTCCATCCCAAAGAGCTTTCTCCCAGATTTGTGCGCCACGCTTTGCTTCCTCCGTCGGGTATAAATGTCGGCGTGGGCGTGTAGTTGGTGGTCAACTGAGGCCAGAGAAAAACGAAGAGAGGTGTAGTCATTGGGATGAGGATGTACTAGGCTATACTTGTAGGCATGATGAAGCTTAGTTGAGAATCGGACTCTTTGGAAGTGAAAGATTGACGCAGTGGAGTAATTTGAATTTTTGCCTCGTGGGCCAACTTCTTTGATATTGCGAAATTTAACTGAACTTGGCCTTGGGAGAATATTTCACTCCCAGGCTCGTCGAGGATACCATTTACAGGTGTTCAGCCTTCGTCCTCCACTGATCAGACTCTAATGGGTTAACTTAGCTGATGCATAGTTATCCTCTGATGGTGTGTGCAGTTATGGCCTCAGAATCTTACGACACAGGATGAGGATACAGTTTCTCTCACATTACTGTCTTTTCGAACCTTACATTCGTTGATACGAAAATGGGTAGGATCAATAGCAAAGCTCAACAATATGATAACGAATAGTGCTGTTATTATAACAGTTCACGACAAAGATTTGCTATACAGATTTCAAGTCAAATAAAGAGAAGTAGATCATTTTATGGATTAAGATACACATCATTGACATTGTCAACAAACTATTGTTAAATACTTCTCTAATGAGATTAGTGAAGAAAAGTAATGTTGATATTTTGCAATTTGGTAAATATCTTACCACAACAACCTTAGCCATGTCTAATTGATTCAAATAATGATAAGTGTAAATGAAAATTTAAAGTTCAATCTCTCGATATAGCCAACATTTAGAGCTCAAATGTTCCTCTTCTTCACACTGGATAAGTAATCCGCGGTTTAACCGAGTATGAAATGGTGTTCTTTCTACCTAACGGCCATTTCTCGTAATAAATTTCGGCGAGCTATAGCTCCCACGGCGATCTTATACCGGCGTGCTATGAAGGTTGAATTCATGATTCTTCCAGCTAAAAGTGAACGGTTTGTCAGCAAAGCTCGAGCAACAAAAATTAATACTTTCATGCGGTCATGAATATATCTTACCTCTTATGTCCTCGATAGTTTCGTCAGAAGCCATGATCATTCTCCTGTACATTGATCCACGATCTTCAGGTGTGTCCAAAAAAGTTCCATCCTTAAACAGAATTGTCCGTAAGCTCTTGGCTAGCTCCTTTAGTCCTACGAAACTTGGCGTGAACTTATCGAGAATTATTTCAAGATCTAAAATATCCGTATATTTAGACGAGTAGCAAGTATCAATTTCACCCTTACACCATTTGTCTAGATTTCGAAGCTCAGCCTCATCTACAGATTCGTACTCTATGCATCCTACAACAAACACATAGAAGAATGATTCTAGATCGTGGCGATATGTTCGTCGGATGGTAGGCTTTAAAGCTGCAGCGGCTTTTAATCTCTCAATTGCCATAAACTTCACGGTGCCTGTCAAGAACAGTTCTTCATCCTCAGCGACGTTTCCCTTCAACTTCACGGAACAATCAAAGTCAATCAGCATACCATGGGAATCGTCATCTATTGTTGGATCTTTCAGGATAATGTTTCCTTCCGAGATATCTCCATGTAGGATACTAATATCGACAAGCCTCTGGTGAGCCTTGATTGCATCTCTAATTCCGGCCACAAAATCAAGGATAGACCCGCATGTGTCGATTTTTCTGCCACATGGTTTCATTGCAATCCTGAAAAGAAACCGATTTCTTTCCAAAGACGGTTGAGTCATGATATGGTAACTAGATCCACGGGTTACATTTTGGCCGTCGGCCTTCAAATCCCATGGCTTGGCGCCGGAAAGATTGAGACTTCCCAGGTGACTGTTAGTCTGATACACTAACTGTGATGCAATGTACTTCACGACACCTGGTACTTGGAGTGCATCCTTCATGAATCCAACTTCGGCGTTGTCCGCAGACCTGCTCCACGAGTACTTTATCATAGTTGATTCGTCCATCGTCTTATAGCAGGTTGTCCCTCGAGTGACCAGGGTCGTTGACTGTATGACAGGCTTAGGTTTGATCTCAAATATTAGGTCTGAGTTACCATCACTTTCTGTGAAACTTGCGATTGAATTTCCATGCATCTGCAGGACTGACATATCACGGCCAAGTTCCTCATCGCTCATCAACAAATACGAGCATAATGCTCGCACGAAAATCTCCTTCCTATCTATAATACTCATTCTGCCCGAGCTGTAAGCGCCCGAGCGATCGAAAACCCAGAGTTCGAATTCTTCTTTAAACGTCAGAAATCCGTGCATAAATCGCCGTAGGGGCTGAGCGCAATATACTTCACGAGCACATCTTGATAGTTGAAGGAGCTTTTTCTTTCTTATGTCTTCACTCGATATTATTGTGAACTCAGCCCCGACATTCATATTTCTCCAGTCAACATTATCGTTCTGTAATTCAATACTTTTTATCAGGAAGTCAATCTGAGTAGTACCCGTCTGCTCCTGAGCACGTTGCGTCCTATTTGTGCGACAATAGCGCCCTCGCAGAAGGGAGCCCTTATCTTCGATGACTATGGGGTATTTTGTTGATCTTGTTGTGCGACCTTTGAGCTGACTTATGAAATTCTCCTCAAAGAAGGTGAGCCAGTCCCATATCTCACTTTCAGTCATGCCTTCTTCAAGGATTTTCTCTTCCTTGTCTCTATGGAGACATTTCTGTTCCTCGACATCTTTTGCGGATTTTTTTGCTTTAAGCTCTTTCGATCTTATTTTCTTCTCAGCAATCTCATACTTATCGTAGCTTTCCCATATACGAGAAGCCTGGTCAGTCCAATCCTTTTCTTCAAAGAAACATTCCCAGAAATTTGGGATCTCGCAGAATACGTTATCTTGCAGGTCTTTCTGCAAACACATTTCCAACGTCTGGGCCGTTATGTCAATATTGGACCCCTCCATATGATTTCTACGGATTGTTATCAAACTAGTCTTTGGTTCTACTGTTGACTGTAATAGAAACTTCGTTCCTAGATCAATGGCCAATGACAAGATATTCTCCTTATTTTTATTATTAAGAATGTCATTAACAAGTTGGTCAAATAAAATGAGATTTTCAGTTATCATGATGTCGGCCGAGATGGTGAGAAACAAGTCATTAAGTTCAACCATATTTTTTTTTTCCCGTACTGGTGCAGTGTAAATACTTAGACTGTGATACAGTTTTTCAAGAACTAATCTGTTAGCTGAAAGTACAAGAGCTTGGAATCGAAATTTACCCAGTTGAGAGCTGCTGCCTTTGCTGTGCTTTTTTCTGCATTTCTGGAGAATGTAATCAATCGAGTTGTTCTCTTGATACGTGAATATTTCCTGGAACTTAGACATCATGTAAAGTGTGTTGAGAACGTTGGGTACAGTGGTAAAGTGTGAGACAAGTGGATGACTGGTAGATTGTTACGACAAGACCGAGGGAGGCAATTGCGTAATTATACATAGGGATATCACATGACTTTCAATCCAAATATCACCTTCCTATTGTTGCCCTGAGCCAAGTCTGGTATTACGTGGCCTGCAAAGGTGAATTCTTCACATGCCAGCGGTGCTGGTGTAACTGCTCAGTGTGCTTTGTATATCTTGGGTAGCCAAGAATCGAAAGCAAGACATTGAAGAATGGACCAGAATTTGCGGCCTGGAGAATGAGAAAGAGAGACAAAAAGAAGCCGTTAAGGTGGCCGCGTTCCAGAATCGGAAAAACTCATGGACACGTCCAGCAAACGAGATACTATCTGGTCATCGAGCTTCGGCAGACCCCGAACATTGGAAAGCAGCCAATTATTATTACAGATGAGACAACTGGTAGAAAAAGGATTACATATAGAAACATACCCTCAAACATCCACCGAAACCTAAGTAGGGCCCAAAGCAGTATTGCAGTTCAGATAAGAAGTGAGCACATTGGTCTTAATTCTTATCTGTATCGAAGGAAAGTTCCCGGAGTGATTGATCCAAAATGTCAGTGTGGATATGCGTCTCAAAATGTCAAACATATGGTCTTGGCGTGTCCTCAGTGGGCCATGGGAAGAGGAGAGGTGCTTCAAAAGGCAAAAGACAGGTCATTTGCGGCAATGATGAACAGCCCAGATGACATAGAGAGAATAACAAAATGGATCCTGGCAAAAGGCTGATATGAAAAATTCCGGCTTGCAGGAGAAGTACAAATAGCATTGGACGAAAGGATGAGACGATGCGGACAAAGATAAGACGGATTTCACACTGTATAAACAGTGTAATCGCACTTCCTGTAGGAAACCTCAGAAACAAAATAGACACGATACAGACAGTTGTAGGGGGTTTTTACCGAATATGGTTTCCTCCTGTGTAAATATTATAGCTAGTTATACCTGCATGGGCCCATAGGGTACCTGAACGGGCTAAATGAAATCAAATTCAAAATAATAATAATAATAATAATAATAATAATAATAATAATAATAATAATAATAATAATAATAATAATAATAATAATAATAATAATAATAATAATAATAATAATAATAATAATAATAATAATAATAATAATAATAATAATAATAATAATAATAATAATAATAATAATAATAATAATAATAATAATAATAATAATAATAATAATAATAATAATAATAATAATAATAATAATAATAATAATAATAATAATAATAATAATAATAATAATAATAATAATAATAATAATAATAATAATAATAATAAAAATTTTGGGGAAACTATTGAAAAAGGTTAGATTAATCGTGATGGGAGAGGGGGATGAGGAGGACCTACCCTCAATGGAGGACGTGAACGAGGCCGTCAAGGCCTTCAACGCTCACAAAAGGGCCTGGACGGAAATGTCCCAGAAGAAGTCTCCTATCGAGGAGAGGATGATGGCGCTCGAGGAGGTTGTCAAAAAGAGCCTCGCGGATCCTGCTCGAAAAGCTGCACCAGCAGTGGTTTCGGGCGCGCCGACACAAAGGAGCTACGCGTCGGTCGTGGCTCCGCAAATGACGAAAACAGCGGTTAGGATAAGAATCGATGGCGCACAAAACCTGCAGCCACAAGAGCTGCTGTCAAAGGCACAACAACACATCGAAGGCGCATTTGCAATTCGACAGATGCGAAGCAACGACACCGAGGTGTTTGTCCAGTCGGCGTCCCAGAGAGACGCGGCGCTTAATATGCGGCAACCAACGGATTTTAAAATTTTGCGGCAAGACTTTCCTGTTGAGGTTTCCGGAGTCCCACTGCGGACAAGAATTGAGGGTGGCAGAGATGCCAACAACTACGCCATCATCAGGGAGATTGAGACGGCGACCAAGGCACGTATTCCAGGCCTGGTTATTAGCAGAATACGATGGCTACATGATGGAAAGGAGCATCAGCGATCGAAGAAAAACGGTCGCAATCGTGGTTCAATTGTGGTCAGCCTCCCATCGGAGGCAATGCAAACGGAGGTAGTGCGACAGGGCCTTGTTATCAACGCCATGCTCTTCACCGCGCAGGTATGGTCGCCACGGGCTCAGCCAAAGCAGTGTTACAACTGCAGCCAATGGGGACACACGCAGGCGTCGTGTGGAAAGGCAGCCAGGTGCGGTGAGTGCGCTGGCTCTCACCAAACTCGGGACTGTCCGAGGAAAAGGGTTTCTTGTGCGAACTGCGGCAAGGAGCACCGTTCGTGGCAGAAAGCAGCGTGTCGGACCTACCAGGTCTACAAGGGAAGTGTGGAGAAGGCTCGGATGGAGCTGTTATCGAGAACGGCAGATATTTGGAATGAAAAACCAACAATGGCGCCAACACAAACAGTCAGACCAACTGATGATCAGGGATTCACTTTGGTCACCAGTAAAAAGGCTGATGGACTCAAAAGAGGGCCAGGACGACCGCGTAAGGTAGTCGAAGTCCCAGCGGCACCAATAATCGCCTCGACAGCAGCACCGCCATCGGGACCTACTCTTCGAACACTTCGAAGACCAACGCCGAGTGAGGAGGTGCCTTCTCTTTTCAATTTTTCATAACGTTAGTCTGATCGAAGGGGGAGTTAACGAATTCTGGGGAAAGTTTATAAAATTGCGGTTGAAAGGAACGTCCTCAGCATAAAGCCGGGTCGGTTCAAAGTGGCAGGACATCGGGTTTTGTTTGTTGAAAGCTTTTTCCCTTACCAAAGCGGCTTACCGTCTTCATGGTTCTGTATATAGATACCGCATAGGACGTTAAACGAGACTAATTCAATTCAATTCAATAATAATAATAATAATAATAATAATAATAATAATAATAATAATAATAATAATAATAATAATAATAATAATAATAATAATAATAATAATAATAATAATAATAATAATAATAATAATAATAATAATAATAATAATAATAATAATAATAATAATAATAATAATAATAATAATGAAAAAAACATCATTTTTGCCAGAAAGCTGCGCAGCCTTCCACGCTGCCCGTATCATCAATTTGACATCGTGATTCTTATTTTTACATCTTTATTACCCTCCTCCCATCTTTTCGCTTTCCGTGCTCCAACATGGCGAGTGTGGGTGCTGGTGTGGGTAAATCCAGCGGATTCGACGCGTCGCAAAATGCGACAATGGCACCAACAAATAACGGCAGCGGAGCGCAAACAGCTCCAAAGGATAAGAACCTTGAAATCCTAGGGAAACTATTGAAAAAGGTCAGACTAATCGTGATGGGAGAGGTGGATGAGGAGGACCTACCCTCAATGGAGGACGTGAACGAGGCCGTCAAGGCCTTCAACGCGCACAAAAGGGCCTGGACGGAAATGTCCCAGAAGAAGTCTCCTATCGAGGAGAGGATGATGGCTTTAGAGGAAGTCGTAAAGAAAAGCCTCGCGGATCCCGCTCGGAAAGCTGCACCAGCAGTTGTTTCGGGCGCGCCGACACAAAGTAGTTACGCGTCGGTCGTAGCTCCGCAAATGGCGAAAACGGCGGTCAGAATAAGAATTGACGGCGCACAAAACTTGCAGCCACAAGAGCTGCTTACAAAAGCACAACAACACATTAAAGGCGCATACGCGATTCGCCAAATGCGAAGCAACGACACTGAGGTGTTCGTCCAGTCGGCGTCCCAGAGAGACGTGGCGCTTAACATGCGACAACCAACGGACTTCAAAATTCTACGGCAAGATTTTCCAGTCGAGGTAGACGGTGTCCCATTGCGGACACGAATTGAAGGGGGCAGAGTTGCCAATAATTTTGCTATCATCAGGGAGATAGAGACGGCAACAAAGGCACGGATTCCAGGCTTAGTGATAAGTCGTATAAGGTGGTTACACGACGGAAAGGAACACCAGCGGTCAAAGAAAAATGGCCGCACTCGTGGATCAATAGTGGTAAGCCTCCCATCGGAGGCAATGCAGACGGAAGTGGTTCGAAACGGCCTTGTGATGAACGCCATGCTCTACACCGCGCAGGTGTGGTCACCACGGTCACAGCCAAAGCAGTGTTACAACTGCAGCCAGTGGGGACACACGCAGGCGTCGTGTGGAAAGGCAGCCAGGTGCGGTGAGTGCGCTGGCGCTCACCAAACTCGGGACTGTCCGAGGAAAAGGGTTTCTTGTGCGAACTGCGGCAAGGAGCACCGTTCGTGGCAGAAAGCAGCGTGTCGGACCTACCAGGTCTACAAGGGAAGTGTGGAGAAGGCTCGGATGGAGCTATTATCGAGGACGGCGGAAATATGGAACGAGAAACCTACGGTGGCGCCAATGCGAACAGTCGAAACGACTGATGATCAAGGATTCACTTTGGTCACCAGTAAAAAGGCTGAAGTACTCAAAAGAGGGCCGGGACGACCACGCAAGGTAGTCGAAGCCCCAGTGGCACCAACAATCCCCGCCACGACAGCACCACCATCGGGGCCAACTCTTCGAACACTTCGAAGACCAACGCCGAGTGAGGAGGTGCCTTCTCTTTTTAATTTTTCATAACGATAGTCTGATCGAAGGGGGAGTTAACGAATTTCGAGGAAAGTTTACATAATTGCGGTTGAAAGGAACGTCCTCAGCATAAAGCCGGGTCGGTTCAAAGTGGCAGGACATCGGGTTTTGTTTGTTGAAAGCTTTTTCCCTTACCAAAGCGGCTTACCGTCTTCATGGTTCTGTATATAGATACCGCATAGGACGTTAAACGAGACTAATTCAATAATAATAATAATAATAATAATAATAATAATAATAATAATAATAATAATAATAATAATAATAATAATAATAATAATAATAATAATAATAATAATAATAATAATAATAATAATAATAATAATAATAATAATAATAATAATAATAATAATAATAATAATAATAATAATAATAATAATAATAATAA